CTSCAGAGAAGGAGACTCCACAAYGTYCCTGGACAGCCTGTGCCCGGGCTCTGTCACCCTCACTGTAAAGAYGTTCTTCCTCACATGSAGATGGAACTGCCYRKGTTTCAACTTGTACCCATTGCCCCTTGTCCTGTCACTGGCCACCGCTGAGAAGAGCTTGGCCCCTTCCTCCCTACGTTCTCCCCTCAAGTACTTAGGCATATTGATCAGATCCMCTCTCAGTCTTCTCTCCTCTAGCCTAAACAGGCCCAGTTCCCATAGTCTTTCCTCACACGACAGATGCTCCAGTCCCTTAATCATTGTCACTCTTAATCATTGGACCCTCTCTAGAAGCTCCAMATCTCTCTTGTCCTGGGGATGTCCAGAACTGTCCCCAACACTCCAGGTGCAGCCTCACCAGASCTGAGTAGAGGGGCAGCATCCCCTCCCTCAACCTGCTGGCAACATCCTCCTGATGCAGCCAGGATCCCACCGGSCTTTGTACATCATGAAACCCAGGAGCATCTCTCCAATCAACTCATACAAATCTGCAAAAGCGAGAAATTATGAACCCTGCCAGCTTGCTCCAGAAGTGTGGAATGAGGACAGAATGGCGGAAGGGAGAGGATACCAGAACAATGATGCTAAGAGAGGCATCCACCCAATAACCAAACGCTGACACAAAATGTTCTCCACCAGCACATCCCAGGGACCAAATATCCAGAGGGCAGGGAGAGGGGTTTGAAGTCAAGAAGGGAAAATCAGAATCTAGCTCTAAACTCATCTTCAGATTCTTGGGTGATGGGGAGAAGAATCACACAGAATCACAGAATATTYAAGGTTGGAAGGGACCTCTACAGATCATCTAGTCCAACCTTCCTGYTCAAGCAGGCACACCTASAGCATGTGGCACAGGGYGGCATCCAGGCGGGTTTTGAAGACCTCCAGAGWAGGAGACTCCACAAYCTCCCTGGGCAGCCTGTTCCACTGCTCTGTCACCCTMACAGTAAAGAAGTTGCTCCTCACCTGGAGACGGAACTTCTTATGCTTCAGCTTGTGGCCATTACCCMTYGTCCTATCGCTGGCCACCASTGAGAACAGCCTGTCCCCTTCCTCCCTGCATTCTCCCTTCCTGAACTTATACATATTAATCAKATCCCCTCTGAGCCKTCTCTTCTCCAGAGAAAACAGGCCCAGCTCRCTCAGCCTCTCYTCMTACGAGAGATGYTCCATTCCCTTAATCATCCTGGTTGCCCTTCTCTGGACCCTCTCCAGAAGCTCCACGTCCCTCCTATACTGGGGAGCCCAGAACTGCACACAGTAAGAGAAAGGAAGAAAAGTGAACAAGCTACAGCTGAGTATTAAGCAACCTCTCTTCTCAAAATACCTTCAAAAGTGTCACAATTTAATGACAAAACACCCAGGGAGTAAAGAAAGTGTCTCCTTTCCCCCCCCCCTCCCACTGTGTGTCACTTCCTCAAGCTGAGATGGAAGCTGCTTTTGCTTGGCCTGGGCACCTCCAAGCAGTACCCACCAATGGAACGTGCTACGCCTGGAATACCAGTCCTATTCATTCAATGTGGTGTGGATGAAGTTTTGCATAATAAGCCCCATTTGATAAGACAGGTAAAAGCCTTAAGTCTTAGCAGAAGCTTACAACAGCCATGTTCTTTTGAAAGGTTCATGTGGAGAACTTTAGAGCAATGTCACTTTTGTACCACAGTCCAAGTGCAGCCCCAGGATCACATTCTTCTTTCCTTTATTCCAGGTACCACAGAGTATCCCAGGATATTAATCCCATCCAYCACTATTTTTAACAACATCAAAAACAACCTGAAGGCTCTCATGGGAAGGAGAAAAGAAAAAGAGAACATGAAGGCAGCAATACAAACCTCTGATCTGTCTATCAACCACTCGCATTTCTTTCCTTATCTTCAAGGACCACTCATTGACCTTAGAAAAGAGAAAGCGTGAGAGTTACTTCAAATGCCTGATTAAGCTGTCCTTTTAATGCAACTTAACCAGCCAAAATGAGGCAAAGCACTTCAAATGCTTTGACTTTTAGGTTGGAACAATAGTTGAATATTATTAAAAAAAAAAAAAAATTTATTTCACAGATACCATCAAGTGGTGCAGCACCCTCAACAACTTTCCGTACGGCCAATTAAAAACTGTTCTTGCAACCTGTGCTTGCTGCCTCTTTTCCCTTTTGCTGGGCACACCAAAGAGCCTGGCTCCGTCCTCAGCGCGGATCTGCTACAAGCAGTGAAAGGTTTTAGATCCTTCTTTAACCTTCTCGTCTCAGAGCTGCAGCGTCACCTACAACATCCCCCGGGGATTTTTCCTCCTCAACCTCGTACCCTAGAGCAGTCAATGTTTATTACACACGCATGCACAAGCAGAACCAGCAACTGTCTAACCGAGCCGGGCCGGATCCCCGACTGCTGCCGCCGGGATGCACAGCCCGGCACAACACAGCGACTGACCCAGAATGGGTGAGGAGGGAAGGGACCTCTAGAGATCATCCAGTCCAACCTCTAGGGACACCCAGAGCACGGGGCACAGGGCGGCATCCAGGCGGGTCTGGAAGACCTCCAGAGAAGGAGACTCCCCAGCCTCCCTGGGCAGCCTGTGCCAGGGCTCTGKCACCCTCACAATCAAGAAGTTCTTCCTCACATGGAGATGGAACTGCCTGTGTTTCAGCTTGTACCCACTGCCCCTTGTCCTGTCACTGGCCACCACTGAGGATTTGGCCCCTTCCTCCCTACATTCTCCCTTCGTGAACTTACACATGTTGGTCAGATCCCCTCTCAGCCTTCTCTTCTGCAGGCTGAGCAACTCACTCAGTCTCTCCTCGTGCGAGAGATGCTCCAGTCCCTTAATCACCTTTGTTGCCCTCCGCAGGACCCTCTAGCAGCTCCACATCCCTCAGAGATGATTTCTGAGAGAAAGACCACCCSGTAGCAGACCCCGACCACCGGGCCGGGGCCTGGGCTGCCCCGGCGGATCAGGGCAGGTCGCGGGCTCCGCGGTTCCCCCAGGCCTCGGCCCGTGGCTCGCGTCGCCTCCTGCTTTCGGAGCCTCTTTAACGCTCGGGTGTCGGGCTAAGGCATGGGCAGCGATTTCTGGAAGGGGGCTGCGAATCCCACGGAATTCCCTGCCTCGGGACGGGGGGGAATTGCGCGGGGGCTGCTTCCCGCCCGCCGGCCCCGCTCGTGCCCACGGAGCGCAGGGGCTCGCGCGGGGCCGGGGCTGCCCGCGAGGCCGGAGGGCTCCGAGGGGCCCGGGGAGCCCCCAGGCCGGGGCCGCCCCCTCGCACAGGCCGCAACCGCCGCCCGGCGCCATGGCAACGGCGCCCGCGGCCCGCCCCACACCCAAACACCCCTAAATCACCCCAAACACCCCCGTCCCCCCGCGCCGCCCCCCCCGCCGCCTCACCAGCTCCTTGGGCGGCTTCTCGGGGGTCTTCCCGAACAGCCCCATGGCTGCAGCGCGCTTCGCCTCGCGCCTTCTGACCCTCCGCGCGACCCGTCCCCCACCCCCCTCCCTCCCTCACGCCACCACAGGGCGGGGCGGCGCGCAGGTGACAGCTACCGGCTGCCACTGCGCACGCGCCGGAGTGCGCACAGCCCCGCCCGCTGCCGCGCATGCGCAGAGCCCTACCCGGCCCGCCCCGCTGCTGCGCCTGCGCAGTCGGGCGCAGTGTGGGGGGGGGGAGAGGGGGTTCTTCAGTGTAGTCCCAAAAAACGCTTGTGCGGGAGCCAAATCCCGCCCGTTTTCCAGCGTTTCCCGTGGTAGAATGACGTTTTTCCCAGCAGAGGCGGTCGGGGAAGCGCAAGAGGAGGAGCCGCACCGCGGGCTGCTAGCACCAGTGCTCTTTGCCCTCAGGCTGCGGCTGCTAAAGGCGCTGCCAGGCCTGAGCGGAGGGAAACGTGTGGGGAGCGCAGGAGATCCCCCCGTGCGCACCTCCAGTGGGAACAGAGGAAAAACCACCCATCACTGAAACAGTTCCTGCCGTGCCCGGGAGAGTCCGCGGCCTTCCCGACACCATGGCCCAGGGATGCTCTCCCGCCATTCCCAACTCTCCCTCGAGGCACGGGAGGGAAGGCACATGGGATCGGAAMTGCCCGCAGGACCTCGCTTTGCCTTTCCTATCATCTTCATGTAATCCATCCTTCTTTCATAGTCTGCAGGAAAGAACTAGGGGGGAAATGAAATCAACAAGACTGTCGCTTACATCAGGGCTTCTAAGACAGCTGAAGTTAACAATTAAAAACAATAACAACTTTAGCCATTTCTTCCACTTATATTCCCCTTCCCTCTCTCCCCCCCGCCCCTCCTTTTTCTTTCCAACCAAAATTTGCTCTCTGGTTTCATCTAGGTGATTTCTGAAATCCACAACCAACACAAGTCTCACGCTGGAAAAGGAGACAACGAGCTCAATTTCCTATGGCAGCCAACAGCTCTCACTCTTCTCCATGCAATCACTTCTGACTCGAGAATATCAGCAACCCGAAATCTGGTAAATTGTACGAGTCTTTTCAGTCACTGTATGAGACTCTTCTGCTGCTCCCAATGTTTCACTTTGGGTCTGGAGAGGGACTGCCCAAAGGCCTTCCCAGATGGCTGCAGAGGAGGGTTTTGGAGAGCAGGAGAGAAGATCTCACCGTGACACATTTTGCATCAACTGGAGAACCACTGGTCAAGCAGAGAAGCACCTGAGCTCAGAAGGTCACAAATGAGAACACTTAAGGCCAGGAAAACTCCACTGCTTTCTGCTTGGCAAGGGGCTAACACTGGGAAAATGGATTCCAGCATTACCAGGAGATGATTTATTAGTCACAAAACATGTTATATTTTTATTGTCTCCACAGACAGATTGGACCAGCAAGACATCCGTAACCATACACACAAAATATTTATCAAAACAATTAACATTACAAATCTCCTTTTAAAATAATTTATTTCATGGATTTCTTTTTTTTTAAATGGTACTGTTTTACAACATACATTATTCAACAAAGATGTGCTGAACAGACTCTAAAATAAGAAACACTTAAATTAAGCAATCGTCTCTGATTAGAATTTCAATTTCACCCCCGTCCTACCTCGGCAGCGTTTGCTGGAATCCGCTGCTCTTGCGGGCCTGATTCTTGTGCTTACAAAACCCAGCATCAAGTCTCCGAAACGTCGAAAAGAAAACGTTATCGTACGATACGTATGCATTCAGTTCAACATACAAGGCAACCAAATGATTCTGTCGTTAACGTTAGCATCGTGTATATTTTAGCTCACCGCACTAACATTTAAACTAAAACTTCAAACCACGTAATCTTAAGTGACTAACATTGAGAAGGCAAGCAGGAACAGCGCGGGAGCGCGGCTACGACGGCGCCTCGCTGGGCAAGGGCTGCGGGCGCGCGAAGGGCGGCTTCTTTTTGTACGAAGGCCACCTGCACACGGGGCAGCAGTGGCGCCCGCCCGCCAGCCACACGACGACGCAGCCGTGGTGGAAGACGTGGCCGCAGGGCAAGGCCGTGAGCAGGCAGCGGCTCTCGAAGTTCTCCAGGCACACGACGCACTCGGTGCAGCGCAGCGCCGGCGAGGGCCACGCCGACCAGTCCGGCTGCGGGCGGGCAGCGCCGCGGCACGGCCCGCACCAYGGAGCCCCTTCCCCGCGCCCGCCCTGCGCCCGCTGCTCCTCGTCCTCCGAGGTTTCCTTCTCGCTGCCCCAGGGCTCCTTGCTGTCGCTGTCACAGTCACTGTCGCTGTCTGGAAAGGCCTCCTCGTCAGAGCGAGCGCCCAGGCATTTAAACCTCCACACGGGTAAGTTTTTTATATAATCAGTTGGTATCAGAGGGTGCAGCCAAAGATCGGGGAAGGCCAAGCGCTCCAAGAACAAATCCGGGTCTTCGTCCCAGTCCGAGTCAAAAGGGAAGTGCTGGAAAGAAGCGATGGGGTGGAACAAGTAGCTCGTGTACCAGTCCCACAGGCTCGACAGCCACTCCAGGTTATTGGCGTTTACTTCATCGTTGTTGTTGTTGCGTCTTCGCTTCTTCTCAAAGTAATCGATGAGCAACCCGTGACCAAGGTAAGTGCTGAGGAAGAGGGCGGGATGGGAAGAGTAGAACATCCAGTCAGCTCTTACCCAGGAAGCCAAAGTAGTTGTATTGGAGTACCTGAAGAGTTTTAAGCTGTACTCGTAAAAGCTATCTAAGTAAGGGAGTTGCAAAAAACCTAGCACAGGGAGCCAGGAAATAATTAATAATGAATTGTATGTCCCTAAAGTGCTTATAAGAACCACGAAGCGCTTGATAGTAGCGCCCTGTGTAATAAACAGGTCCATCCAAGCCATCAGATTAACCAAAACTAAGCTTAAAACAAATAAATCATTAACTTCTGGCTGCAACGAGCGCAAAAAGGAATCCATGGCACGTAAGGATATGAATTCACCAGTATTACTTCCATATCTATAAATCCCCTCGGGAGTCCTAAGTATGTAGGACGGTGTCTTGTGGATCCCAATTTCTGCCATGTAGCTTTTATTGTCCCAGTTTTCCATGTTCACAAAGATAAACTCCACTCGTCCAGTAAACTTCACGCTCAACGCGGAGAAGAAGGCGGGCGGCTGGTCGAGGTCGGCGAACAGGTAGATTTTCACCCGGTACTGGTCACTTTTGTTCCACTCCTCTTGGAGGTGCTCCGAGTTGTAGATGGCTTTGACGCGAGAGGCGGCGTGCGCTGTGATCCATTTGAAGATGTGCTCCACCTCCGTTCTGCGCCCGCTGTACTCCTTGAGCATGACCTTCCCCTTGGACGTGCTGGTTTGCGGGACAGACATGATGAGGGTGGATTTCAGCCAGCCCCTCCTCTTACAGTATCTACAAAGAAAAAGGAAGAAAGTTATATTGGAGTTTTTTCCGCTCCTACAGCTGCAGTTTTTAGACTTCTGTCATGGGTCCAGCAATTAGAAATGCTGAGCACCTGCAAATCCTCACAGAAATCAACAGGAAATATGGGCACCAAATATTCACCAAAACCACTTGTCACAATATGTTTGTTATCTGTCCTACAAGAACATGAGAGATGTACAATCACACAACACTGTAAAAGTGTTAATCTTCATGGGTTATTATACTAAGTAAAGCAATATATCAGCCTCACGCTTTGTAAGAGGATTTGAAAAATAAGCAACTTTTTTCAGTCTTCAGCATAAAGCTTTTGCATTAGAAACTGTTTTTCTAGGTTTTATTTCTGAGAAGATAACCATTACAGCATAAATCAAAGCCCCACAGCTTTCCTGCACGTGTGGATCCCTGCTCCAGYGCTTCCTCCAGCCCTAGCTTTGTCAGGCTGCAGTGGGGCGACGTTAGCAGGAAATTGTGTGTTCAGAGTTGCTGTAACCAGGGTGTTGAGTATCCACTTCCTAGCGGGGCAGTTTTGGAAGGACACAGAGACCCTGGAAAGAGCTGCAGCAAGACACAGGACCAGGGACAGACACATGCAGCCAGATTTTGGGGACTGAAACCCCTTCTTTCTTGCAAGCAGGGTGTTGAAATGGGGGGAACTACAAATCTGCGCCTAGTAAAAGAGGCTGTTAAATACTCAGCCCTTAGTCACAGTCCAGACYTCAGGGAGACTCATCTGGTGACTCAGACAGTCCCTTCTCTCATACCTTTCATATCAGCACCACYCTGCCACCCAGTTTATTTAGTTCTCCTCTTAATGTCTGGCAAGCTCAAACAATTTAAGCAGCACGCAGTCCCCAAGCAAAACAAGCTGCCTTGAGAACCCTACAAATTACACGTCAGCACAGAGGCCAGCAGCCTCATTCATCATTRATTTTCCCGCTCCTTCTCTGCATTTAATCTTTCACCACGTACATAGACAACTGCAGTTCCCCATTTTAGGGATCTGAAGGTAGCATTTTTAGAAAAAAAATGCTGTAAGATATTACCCCATCACTGAAGGTATCCCAACTACTATCCCATAGTGTTCTTCAGAATTTCAGCTGCAGCCTAATGGGAATTATTCAAGAGCGCTTACTCAGCAAAACATTTCTTATATTAAAAAAAAAAGTATTTAGGAATAAATTTAAAAGATGTCATTTTCTCATAACATTASCACTAGTTAGGAACTATGCAGAGAGAAACACTGCCAAATATTTAAGATGTTCAAATATCAGTGTTTTGATTATASAGGATTCTTTTTCGTAAACATTTCCAAGTCTAAGAATTCTCCCATATGATTAAGTTTGAAATTTCTGTGAACATTCCTGATTTAAGCTGAATAAGAGACATGCATATAACAGACTGCCTTTCTGTACACGTCACTGGAATTCAGGACAGGGCTTCCTGTCATGTGAAGCAAATGCTTACAAAAAAAAAGAGTTGTTTTTACAGCAGCACAGAATTAACTACTTCTTTGTCACTCATTCTTGTTCCTCCTTTGAAATGACAAGGAAACAACAGGGAATCTTTACAGCACAGTTATGTTGTCAAAGGGTGTGTTCCAGTTTATACATAAACACACATTTCTCAGGAACAGGATTTGCTGGTAACTCGGGAGAAGCAGGTCTGGCTTTCAAGGTTCAYGTTAACCCATGTTTCTCCCTTACACATGGTAATGTAACAATTTTAACACCAATATAATTCTCTTAGGCCATATTCTCTTGGGCCATATTCAGGCCCTTCTCTGGGCCTAAATGGCCTTAGGCCATTTTCTCTGGGCAAGAACTGGGCACAGTTCTTATCCACAAACACCCTCACTAAGCTTCAAGTCCCCCCTACACTGTCTCCCACTGCTGTATTGCCCTCTACACAGTACAATCACATATGTCACATATTGTGCTTTTGGAAGCTGCAGATCTGTGATTATGGTATTAATAAATAATATAATAAAGTTCTGTGCATAGCTTAGTGGAGATGAAAACATGAATATACCACCCTCTATCACAGCTACTTTTTTTAAACACAGGAAACACTGCTGCCAGCATTTCATTGAGCCTTCAATATTCTTGGGATTTAGGAAATCCGTTAAGACYATACCTGGGGTCACTGGAACAGTTAAAAGTGCCGGTACGTATGCCGAATCTTGATACTTTCTTCACCATTTTCTTCCAGTGGACTTTACCCACCAGCGGGCTTCTATCGTTTGCTATGACCTATTGCCAAAAGGAAATAATAATTCAGCATCAGAAGAAGTTGCTTATCAAAACAAACAAGTTTCATGAATGCAGCAAGCTAGTTACCCTTAATACTCTTCACCCTGCTTCTGTTAGACCACATGGTTAGTATATGCAAGATACCATCAACATCATCCTAAGTGTGTTGGGAGTGCAAAGCTCTACGATTATTACTGTTGTATATTACTGCTTCTGTAGAAAGATAGATGTGTACCATCCTTTTAACTAAAATGAACTAAAATTAACTAAAATCACAAGTACTTCACAAAAACCTCTGGAAAATAAGAAAATTATCATTAACTTCATTGTGGGGGGGAAAGAAACACCGAGCAGCACGTTTGTCTTCTCCACAGGAAAAACATGATTATTTATCAACATTCAAAAGTCACAACATACAAAGAAATATCATCTCAGAGCAAGTAAAACGTGTTTGAACACATGCAACTGGTACCAAATTAGGCTCCCAACAGCCAATTCTATGTGATGGAAACCTGTAATTAAATTCCCAGGCAAGACCTAATGATACTGACTCCTTCCAGCTCTACCAGTGACTCTGTAACTTCAGGTGACTCCTCAAGCCACGCCAGTGCCCCATCTGCAATTTCAGGATGAGAGTTTACTGAAATATACCTCCAGGCCTGGTTTGCTGTAATCTGTATATTTAAGGATATTAAGGTTACCTAGGCATAAGCTTCTGTGTGTGCAAATGACAAGACAAAGCACTATATGGAGGAGGGGGGAACATCCCAAACCCTTCTGCCTGCTGCTGACAGGTAATTTTGATTAACGTGACTGATCACGCATCGTTCCTTGATGTGGCTCCTGTTTTAAGAAAGCCTCACGTGCTTCTGCAAGCTGACTGGTAACAACTTGAAGGATGCTTTTAAATCACATTTCAGAATTTCCATTCGTTAAGAATTTGTTTACCCACCATCAAACTTTTCCCCGTGGTTTTCTACTTTGGTAACTAGGGATTTTGGCTTTCACGTTGAGCRATTGTCACTGTGATTAACTGCCTTCCACGTGCTGCCTGAGAGGCAAAGCTAGAAAGTGCGTCTGGCCCTCGAGACTCAAAAGGAAAAAACATCTACTCTGTGCTAAATAGCATCCACTCAGATTCTGAAAGCAAGRGGATTCACTAAGCAGAACAATCCATAGAGGCAAACAGTTAAACTGAAGTTGCAGAATATGCTCCCATTCCGCTGAGCCCAAGATGTTTAAGTAAAACTACAGGTGAACAATGTCCTTCCCTCTCCCCATGGCTTAGCTAAATGCAACGTTCAACACCGAGACAAACAGYTGGGAAAATCTGCTGCATTTACTGAGGCATCTTTATATCACCCGATGTGACAGAAGCAATAGCTTTGGCTATTTGAAACTTCTTCTTTTCATATACTTCCCATAAAAAGAAACCACATTCCTAAAGACACCTTGAGAGGTACCGCTATAGCCTCAGAGCTACCAGCACGTGATAAATGCACCAGACTTAGAAGAATCACCAAGTTTTATTAGTAAGAATAAAAGTAAATGCAGGTGACTATTACTGTTTGATACAAGTGCTTCTGTGGGCACGTTCAGCAAAAGCMCAGCACAGTTGCTCAGCCTGTATTTCATCTACGAGACTGCTTATAAACCCAGACAGCTGTTGCTAAATCAAACGTAACTGCTGTCTAGTGAAATCTTACTGGAGAGTAAATTAAAAAGCCTGCTATCAAGATGCAAAGAAAACACACCAATGTGAGTTGCACACCTTTGGAACAGTGTGGCTTGTGCCAATTTCTGCGTCTATATAAAAGCGTGTGGCTGCAGTCACTGACCGCATATCAACACTGCACACAGGAGAACCAGGGCTGCTCTGCTCGCTCTTCTGCCTATTTCGAGTCCAATATTCACTTTATTGTCAAAAGCAGGTGAGTTTTTGCATAGACAGGCACTAGTAGGGTTCATTATAATCTGTTTGCCCTGGCTGTCCTCTTTATAAGGATTCAACTCTATGAGAAGGGTCTTTCCTGCTGCAGAAAGTTACTCGTGCTGTAGGACTACGACAGAGCTAGCAGTCTGTAAGCAGACAGTGAACCCCCTAACAAGGCTTCGCATGCTGAAACTCTGTCAAGATTTCTTGGGCTCACTTTTTTTTTTTTTTTAATTGCATTACAGAGAAAAGAAAAAGCCATGTCTAGTGGCTTGTTCCTTGTAGGCAACACCCACATAAAACACTGGCAGTTCGCCACACAGAGGCAAGGGATTTTATTTTGGAAAGCAGAGTCATCACCATGAAAGAGGGAGTCATAGAAAATAGCTGTAAATTGAGCAAACAATCATAATGCAGATTAAATAGAATTGTAATAAATGTTTGCAAGTTAAGAAGTGCGAATTTTGCAAAGCTGAGCAAACTAGCTCAGGTCTCTGTGACTGAGGAAACCAGAAAGTGAATAAAGAGGCCTGAAACTTCTTCTGTGGGTTAATGCTATCAGGATTTCATATTTCAAGCAAGAGGAAATAAAGCTGTCAAATTCTGCACTTCCTCCTAGCAAGCACTTGCAAAAAACATGTCAGAAACAGGCTGAAAATCTACAGGGAATTGTAAAAGAGCAAAGGAAGTGCTAGCAAAGTACGCCAGAAACTAAAAAATGGAAGGAAAAATGGGCATTTCAGATTCGACTATATGAAGAATATTAGAAGGTACAAAAGAACTTCAAGCATATGAATAAAATTAGAACAGAGCAAAAAGAAGCAGGATCATTATATGGTGCATGTATGAAATAAATTAGATATTTTAGGTTTTCCTTTTAGAAAAAAAAAGAACATGTTTCTTTCAATAAAGAAGAGCTGCCTGGCTCTGGACAGGTTAATGAGTTATTGGAAAAGCTTGTATCACCTGCAGATGGAAACAAATCAAATCACTTAATGTGCTTAAATCAGGTTAAGTAGGTAATCAGCATCCCATAATGTGATACAATGAGCACTCAATTACAGATGCACCTACGAAGACTTTATATAAATCCACTGTCAGTGTAATTTACACTTTGACAGGGGAATAACAAATGGGTAACTATATTTAAGAGAGAATAAAAAGAATTATCCCACCAGTTTGATCTCAATAGTAGGCAAAACTTCGGAATACACTTTGAAGGAAAGAATAATTAAAGGTACAGAGATAAGTGAATTTTCCTCTCTTTGCCAACATGACACTACTAAAGGCATATCATTCTTGACTAATTTGAGCATTAAAAGAGCCTTTTCCTGGAAAATAAGAGAATTTCAAGGCAAAGGAAACATCACAACCATTTTRCTTTGGTAGAGTATCTGGATATAGTGCAACTTGGAAGAAAACTCTACAAAACTAGAGAAAAATGCTTATAATAAGAACCCTAACTTGAGTAAGAAACCACCCAGGGCAGGAAAACATGAGAATGCTGCAAAGGCAGCACAAGCCTCCCCTAAGGGACTTGCCTTAGACAACAGTTCAGCCTATGTTCTTATCAGTGCCTTTGCTATAGGAGGCTAGAAGGCTAACGAAGCTATTTCTTGATGACACAGAATGGGAAGCACATCCATGCACAGAAGAGGGTTATAATTCCACACTGGACAAACTGCACAAATATTGTAGCGGGGAATGTCAGAAAAAGAAATGAATTCAATAATGAACAGGACGCTTGGGGAGTTCATTAGTTAGAGCGATGGGAGAAAAGCTGGGTCTAGCAGCTGATACAAAGGGACCAAAAGGCATCAGTATTAACTGGCTGGAACAAGCAAATCCTTGCACGCGTTGAGCTGACAAAACAAATGGTTTGACGGATCTCACACACTGGAATTAGCGGGACAGACATCAGGGGTCACAGAAGCTCAAGGACAACATCAGTTCAAGCAAGGATGCTAGTTAGACATGAGTGCATTAAGTGCAAGGCAGAGGCAGGTGTCCCAGAGACGAGGGACAGCCACTAGGAGTGTCACACGTGGACAAATTACGATGCGAGAGTCGGAAGGAGAGATCCCATAAACACACATGCTGCAGACCAGCTGAGAGCTGGACTCAAAACTAGGAGTTGCTTTCACTCCCGAGCTCTATTTTGTGCTACAGAAATAAAGGCAAAACTTGCACATAAAAGCAGGTGTATAAGACTAACCAGCACAAGTGAAAAAACAACCATCACACTTGGAGGCCCTAAAGGCCTTCAGGCTTTTCTTATTATTAAGCTATATTCTCTATCTGCAAAACATCATCTGCCAGATGGGAAAATACTAAATGAAGATTATATCCAAGCAGTCCATTAATCATCTTAACGAGCAGAGAAGATCCAAGAGGATCAAAGTCACCCTGCCGTTCAGCGAACCCACACATCATGGGATAGATGTGGTGCCTGATGTGCACCCAGCCCAGAGGACAAGTTCTGATGGCAGGGTCTGAATTACTGCCTTTCCTCTCGCAGGAATTACAGGTTGCTTCCAAGGAATAACGAGCACTGACGGAGAAGACCAGGCCCTCATGGGACATCTGTCTGCAAACTTCCTCTCAAGTTTCAGATGCTGCAGTTTCTCCTCATCTTTTCCTGTGAATCTGTGAWTCAAATCACAATCACCTCATCTGTGAATGTGAACTATACCATGAAGGATAGCAAAAAGGTAATTCCTAACTATTACTATAAAATACTGCCAGTAGGTTATGCCACCAAGGTGTACAAAGTAGAAATGGTGAGACAAGGTTATGGAAATCTCCTTTATTTTCAGATGTTCTGATTTTTTTTTTTATCTCACATTTTCCACTGAAGAGCTGCATACCTAAACCAAGTACCTTTTCAGATACTACAGAAAACAAAATTAAAACCAAGTTATTCTAGGAACATAGAAGGTAACAAAGTACTGAAGTCCTGATGATTTTGACAGGCATTTGCATAGGTAATTTTCATACTAGCTCTTTTGACTCCGAAATAGATGGAAAGGTCCCAAATGAGAACAATAAAGAACCTAATTAATAGAAT